TGTGAATGCTCATTAATCACTGGAAGAAAGGAATATTTAAATTCAAACTATCCTCATGTTAGAATCATGTAATTGACCATAAAGGTCGTTTTTTTCCTCTTCTGAATATCTACCATTAACACTCATCAGTGCAGTTATTTCATTTATTGAAAACAAAATCTATGTTGGTTAGGCTCACATAATTTTATCTTTATACTATCTATGATTTCATACTGAAGTTAATGACATTGTTTAAAAGGGAGGATACTATGAACTTATATTTTTTAGGATTTTATTTTTAGTCCCTTATGAATTCTCATAATTCCCTAAGCTCTAAAAATTATTTAAATTAATTTGTCTTTTAAAATGAGAATATTCTAATTGCTATTGTCTCCTTGTTAATTACTAGCTGACACGCCCTTTCAACACACGGGGAGAACATAAAAGCCCTAGAGGAGACACAGGGGGTGGTGTCTGATCAGAACGCTGATCCCCCTATGTCACTCCCAGGGGGGGACTAAAGTTTGGCGAGAACTGGTCCAGCTATTTATAAGCATAAACACACACACACATAGAGACTTTTGTCAAATAGTAGTTTATACTTCTTTCCTACAGATCAAATAGTGCAGTTTAAGTTTATATATGAATAGCAAATCAAAACAATTATTTGATACTTCGGTTTCAATGCATGGGAGTGACCAAAATGTTACAAAATCACACATTTGTAAGCATTTTCTACTGAGCTCAATTTTACTTTTATATTGTCACATATAGCACGTGCTAATAGTGCAAGATCTTACATACCTATACACGTTTTAGAATTTTTGTATACATATATTTCAGTTGTAGAATTTCTTTACTACTTTTCTACGTTAGAAAACATTCAGTTAAACTTCATGTGCTTGTGGGGGGGGGGGAGGAAACAAACTTAAGATGGTTGGGGAGGGTGGGATACCTCACATATGTATGTAGAAAAAAAAAAGAATTGTCGTTTATATGATGCGAAGTAAAAATCTATGTTTAAGTATATGAAATGTTTCCATGTATTAGACTATAAGATAAAACGTAAATGATTAACTACAGTTATAATGTTGGCTTTATTTGTATAAATTGTTTTGAAAATGAAAGGGTCTGGATGTGTAATGTTTATTGTAAGATTTTCTTTCATTGTTATAACAGTTGTATGTGTTATATACCACAGTTTTCTATGACAAAGAGTTTCTTTCAGTGTCATAACAACTGTATGTGTTATATACTACAGTTTTCTATGACAAAGAGTTTCTTTCAGTGTTATAACAATTGTATGTGTTATACGCTACAGTTTTCTATGACAAAAAGTGTCTATCAGTGTAATAACAATTGTGTGTGTTATATACCACAGTTTTCTATGACAAATAATTTCTTTCAGTGTAATAACAATTGTGTGTGTTATATACCACAGTTTTCTATGACAAATAATTTCTTTCGGTGTCATAACAATTGTATGTGTTATATACTACAGTTTTCTATGACAAAGATTTTCTTTCATTGTTATAACAATTGTATGTGTTATATACTACAGTTTTCTATGACAAAGATTTTCTTTCATTGTTATAACAATTGTATGTGTTATATACCACAGGTTTCTATGACAAATAATTTCTTTCATTGTTATAACAATTGTATGTGTTATATACCACAGGTTTCTATGACAAATAATTTCTTTCGGTGTCATAACAATTGTATGTGTTATATACTACAGTTTTCTATGACAAAGATTTTCTTTCAGTGTCATAACAATTGTATGTGTTATATACCACAGTTTTCTATGACAAATAATTTCTTTCAGTGTTATAACAGTTGTATGTGTTATATATACTACAGTTTTCTATGACAAAGAGTTTCTTTCAGTGTCATAACAATTGTATGTGTCATATACTACAGTTTTCTATGACAAAGAGTTTCTTTCAGTGTTATAACAATTGTATGTGTTATAAAGTACAGTTTTCTATGACAAATAATTTATTTCAGTGTTATAACAATTCTATGTGTTATATACCAAAGTTTTCTATGACAAATTATGTTTGTCATGAATATATTAAATCCGATGTCAATATAATTAAGGGGAATCCTTTATTCATATTTAATATACTATTTTGCTATAGATTAACCTACTTTGGTGAATACTTCTTAATTTTAATTATATTTAATGCCTATGTAACATTAAATTTTATGTACATTGCTCGACAACCACATGGAAATGACGATAAAAAATTACGTTCAACATGACTCAAGGCCAAAAAGAGATGGCCGTCCATGTTGAATTTCGCGCAAAGCTACACGAGGATTACTTGCAATGGTTGTCCTTAATTTTGAAGTGATATACTAGAGGGAAGGTAGCTAGTCAACACGACCCACCGCAAACTCTTTGGCTACTCTTTACCAACGAATAGTGGGATTGACCGTCACAATAAAACGCCACACATTCACGGCTGATAGAGCGAGTATTTTCGGTGACGGGATTCGATCCCGTGACCCGCAACGTGCAAGTGCCTTAACCACCAGACCAAGAAATAACGCGATATTAACATTTCTTGAAGCATGTTAAATGATATCTTGCACAAAACAAGTTTGAAAATGTTCAGATGACTCTCAGATAAGCCTAAACTTGAAACCGCTAACTAGAATTTACCGTTAGGAAGGAACGTGAACACATTACATATCCGGCATTTGCCAATCCATAGTCTGTAATACGATCAACAGCGTATTGTTTAATAATAATACATAGAGTGTTGTTACGGTGTTCATGCTAATAGCTGGCAAAGCAATGAAACCAATAATCCTGACAATCTTGTTATATAGGCCTGCATATATTGTTTACATGTAGTAAAATCTTAATTGTAAAAGTATTCCACATACATTGCGGACTAAATTGAACAAACAACTTTATTTTTCCGCTATACAACTTTGTCAACAAATATATCTTGTAATCTAACTTATGTGTGCATTTAACACAAAGTGCTTTGAAAATCTTACAAAACACACATAAACAACACCACTGAATAACCTACACTGAACGTGTTAACATTAAGTAATATATTTGTAACTTATATACTTCATTTAAATAAACTACACGCCAGATGGTAGTCACTAAAATCTAAAACATATTTCGAGCCCATTTTAAAACCAATATAAAGAGGAAACTAAGTTATATTACATAAAAAAATCATAAACTCCAGTTAACAATGTGAACTAGGCTTGGCATGGCCAGGTGGTTAGGGCGCTTGACTCGCAATCTGCGGGTCGCGGGTTCGAAGCTCCGTCACACCAAACATGTTCGCCTTTTCAGCCGTGGGGGCGTTATGATGTGACGGTCAATCCAACTATTCGTAGCCCAAGAGTTAGCGGTGGGGGTGATGACTAGCCTTCCCTCTAGTCTTACACTGCTAAATTAGGGACGGCTAGCGCAGATATCCCTCGTGTAGCTTTGCGCTAAATTCATAGCAAACAAACAAATAATGTGAACTTCAATTAACTCTATGCCCAGTTTTGTTTCTATTTCGAAGACATCATCCAGTCTTTTGTGTAGAAAATATAATAAATTTTTTGAGTCAACATCCATAATAATAACTTTAGAAAATCAAAGTTATTATTGACTGTATATAACAAAAATATATTGATGATGTCAGGAAAATACGTAGGTTCATCAAGTCTTGATACAAAAATATATAAACAGATCTGAGATAATTTACCAAGTAAACTGTATCTACTATATGCATTTTTTGGGTATAAAGTTATCATGTATTTCTTACCATGACGTATTTCACACATAGACAGTACCATAAACATGTTATTAAACTGAATAATATCACGTTTACTGCGCGTAGTGAAAAATCAATGTCTACCAAGAAAAAAAAATGTTACTTGAATAAGCAGATATCGCACTATTCTGCCAACAGTTTTTACTTACTTGATATGTGTGTATATGTGTGTGGCCCCTGGCGGATCAGCGGCAGGTCTAGAGGATAATAATGCTAAAAATCGGGTTTCGATACCCGTGATGGACAAAGCACGGATAGCTTTGCGCTTTACAACAAACAGGTGTAAGTGAGGTTGGATTGTCTTAAATAAGCACAATATATACAGATCAGTAGTTAAGTACGCCTATAAAAAACTCCAGCTTCCAGTTCCCTTTCTGGTTTGTCACGTAATCTCTTGTAATTAAACCTAACTATCTGTAGCAATATACATTTTAATTTTTTTTTGACAAACTATACAGTATTATCATGCATTAATATCTTTATAATAAGACATTAAAGGTGAATTACCAGTAAAATTAGTGACACGATAAAGAGTTACTTGTGTCTTTTGTTAATCATAGCCAGTTTGACCATGAGCATCGACTGGTCACATTCCAAACCAGCATATTAACTGTTATCTTTAGTAGCGTTGAGCTGGCGCCACGAACCTGTTTGTCTTTCTAGCCCCGCCGGACTTAGACAGTCTGGGTAAGGAGGAACTCGGGCCAGAAGTTTAAGTTTATTCCTGCTAATTTGGACAGATATTGAACACAGCTGTTTGGTCACTGTCCCCAGCCATTAAATTCACATCGGAGACACTTCCTCACCTACCCTCCATGCGCTGTCTACAAGTTTGTTGGCATGGATGTTTGCCAAAGACCACTTAAAAGATGTTATCCAAACATAAATGACAAACTTGTAAAGAATGGTTAACCTGTATAATTATACCTCGTTGTTTTCTGGTGGTCTGCAATTATGTTGTTATCTTCCAAGAGAAATACTAGCTGAGATAGTGCACATGAAGATACGGAACGGTTGTCATTGGCTGGGCGGAGCAATATACTGTCAATCATTTTCCCTAATGGGTGGGACAAGAAGGCTTCCTCGCATAACATGGGCCGGCGCTACAGTGGTAGCTGCCTTTATTTCTGTCAATCAGTTAAAGCGGCACTCACCTAGGTTTGCTGAACGGGGAGGTTGGTGTGTGTCGATGTTGCTCGTTATAGATTTAGTTAACCAACAGCTGTCGATCAAAGAGTGTTTATAGTGAACATTATGTGTTTGTTCGTGGTCTGACACTTGCCTTGTCGAACTATTAATGTATCTGTGTAAACAGCAAAATTGGAGAAAAAGCTTACTGGCCTTAGTTGGACGTAGTGTGGTGACGTCTAGCCTGTCTGAACTACGGTTCGTGAACTGCAGACATAATCACTGTAACGTAGGCAACAGACTAGCATAGCTCACCAGTGTTATCCAACAAAAACGAATGTGAAGAGCATGATTTATGAATATTAGCTAACACTATTTGTTGGACAATTGAAAAGTGGAAGAAGTGGTGAAAAAGTTATTTAATCTCTACATAGGTCTTAGGTTTAATTGCTGTTGATATAAATCGTAATTAGCAGGCTATTGATGAATGATCATGAAACCATAAGGGCAAAAGGTTACAGAGGAGGTTGTTAACTTGAAGACTTGAGTGATAATAATAATAAAAAAAAACCACCAAAAACTGGAAGAGCTGTCTAGACGTATGATGTCATATACACAGTTTGGATATGGAACTTATCCTTCACCTGTCCAGGTTGGTAGGATGATTTTGTGAGTTTCATGTATTATAAATACAAAACTAGAAATAATAGCTAAATTTATATTGTAATTGTAGTTATAAGTTGATAACAATTTTTTTTAAAAAGGTTTAAATCTACACTTCATTAGTGACTTTGTCAGTCATGTTAAGTCATTTGTACAGAGTTTCGAACACACGACGAGTTGATGAAAGACAAGTGCCCGTGACGTAAGTTCATTTCGTCATCGGTGTTGAATATAGACTGACTGGTACAAAGTTTAAAGTTGGTGGTTCCCGGAGTTTGGCATATGCTGAAGTCCAAACTAAATATTGAGTCAGCCATCTTGCATATTTACATTATCTTTAATAATAGTTATGTCAATGTATTAGAGTTTTTAACTTATCAACTTGATAATCGAATGTACATACTGATTTAATTTATACAAGAGAGAAAGTTCTGTTTACATAAATTACATTCAGAAGCTGCACCTAACGGAATAAAAAAAAATAAAAACACGATATACTGAAATCAAACCAGTAATCTAGCTTTCAACTTCACATGTATTACAATAACATTTTAATGTTCTGGGTCTCCCCAGTGGCACAGCGGTATACCTGCAGATTTATACTGCTAAAAACCGGGTTTCGATACCCGTGATGGGTAGAGCACAGATAGCCCTTTGTGAAGCTTTGTGCTTAATAACAAACAACATTAATGTTCTGACATCGATAACCATTATTTAAATGCTTTCTTTACAGTTTGACAATATTATCAAGCAATAGCATTTTCTCAATTTTTCATTTCAAAATCACAAATGAATTCAAAGACAGACATGCACGAAACTTGAAGCTGGAGAAATTAATTTTATAGTATTATGATCTACCATGAAAGATTTAGTATTAAATAAATACTGGACTGCTTGACACTTTGAGATTGTGCTTAGTTATTTTATTCATATATTTCAAGTTCAAAAATAACAAACTTAAACTTTAAAAGTATAATGTGAAAGCACAAAAATGCTTTATAGTTATTTTAACTTATATAAAGTAATTTTCTACTCACATCGATGATCCAGATAACCGGGACTTCCTTTATAATAATTTTCACTTTCTAGCTAGAAAGCGGAAAATAGGTTCTGAAACTAGGACTGTCCCTGTAAAACCTGAACGTACGACAATCATACGTGAAAACAAATATAGTATGCCTAATTTCTTATTAAGTCATGGAATGTTTTTGAAAAGCCTTCCAAAAGATGGATGATCTATATGCTATGGATAGGCCATGAAATTTAAAAAATATAATTCAATGATAAATATAGATCACCTGTTATATCTACTGACAGAGTTTGACTTTGTAGTTTTTGAAAGTACTTCTTGAAAGCCAAGTGATTTTAATTGTTGATTTAAACGCCAAAAGCTGGCGAAATATTGGAAAACCAACAGGCCTAAAAATTGTTATAAAACAAGTCAGCTGCAGATGTTTTTTTTTTCTATCACATTCCTCTTAATTTGTCCATTGCAGCTGAATGTGGGGGAGGAAACATCTGCAGCTGACTTTGTTTTTATAATAATTTTAAGTACTATTTCGATGAAATGAATGTTACTTAACAATAAGCTAGGACTAACCTTTTTAAAGTTGAACAATGTATAGGCCTGCTACACGATTTAAAATATAAAACACAGGTATAATGAAAAGTCTGGCGTTTTACAGGATTAAACGCATAAAAAAATACTTTTGTGAATAATGAAACTGAATGTAAGGTAGAAAACCTAACCTCTTACTTTATTATTATATATATATATATATAAGTTTTCTCCAGTGATTAACATGGAAATCACGTACTAGGCCTATCTTCTTACATAAATAAATATAGATTAAAAAATTAATTATAGTCATGGATGTAAAGTAAAAAAATTAGCTTTTTACAAGATTAAATGCCGATTTTTAATTCATTTTTTGAGTGATAGTATGAATATTGTAATAAGGCCTATAACCTCTTACAGTGTTAATTTATTTAAAAAACTACACGATGAACTTGTGCATGAAGAAGGCACATAGGCCTATTATTTCATACAATCAAGCATTAAAAAAATCTCAAATCTTGAGTGACTGAAATGAGCAAGGACAGCCTTAAAAGACTAGATAGTACCTTGTAAGTTTGTTGTGGTCTGTAAAAGCCTAACTATCTTTTAAGTTTTTTCCAGCTATAATCAGGTACATAAATGTTTTAATAGATTTAAGGTAGTTTCTTACCGAAACAATCTTACAAATATAAAGAGGTACAGACACATATGTACCTTAGAAATAAGCGTTGGATATAGACGAACATTGATAATGAAAATAATTGTTTTGATATAATTAGCAAAAATTGGCATTAAAAACACAAGAAGAACAACAAAAATATAAAGACACATAAAGTTCATGTTTACTAGGCGGCCTATTTACATATTCAGTGAATCTGGCTATGGTAGGAATGTTTTGGTCTTCTACCGTTGGGTTTACCTAAATAAATATTCATAACAACTTACGATGTGTATATCAATTTTTTTCGGTTACAGAATTAAATACAGAAAAATTTAAATAATTTCTATAGAGCAGCGTTTCTCAAACGTGAGTCACATCCAAAATTTTATAAAAACATTAACAACTATAATTTATAGAATAAAAAACATTTTTCGTAAAATTGAATTTATATTAATTGAAATATTTAATTTTGGAATACAGCTTTTGATGTACATGGAATATATATGTATATATTTCAAAATAATAAACATCAATAGGCTTGGGGTTCCACGAAAAAAATTAAAATTAAAAGGGGGTCACCCGGTCTCTATAGTTTGAGAACTGCTTCTGTAGAGCATCGTGTTCTGTGATAAAATTAAAGTGTGTTGTGTGAAAAAAGTGGTTCTCTTTGTTTGTTATTCACACTGAACTTAAGAGCCAGTTTACTATGTTGTCAAAATAGCACTTTCCAGTTTCCAAATAACAAAGAAATGCCTTCCATATAAATGTTTTACATTTGAATTCTGTTCTAAAAGAAGCAGTAGTTTCTGTTGCGTATCATGATAAAAATATAGTGATATCCCTTCATGTAATTGAATGACAGCGATCACACTTCCAAGTTATGTTAACATAATCAAAAAGCTTTTGTATGTTATGTTCCATTAAACAATACTGACTTACATACACTTTTTAACTTTCTTCCTAGCTGATTGGAAATTCAGGGCAGACAACTCCGGCGTGTTGTGATGGCACATGGACAGGTTTGACGGCGGACAATTCATCGCCTGCAGCTGCGGCTGTTTGCCCGTTACCATCAGCTTATGACTCCCGTTTGATTTCGTCTTACCCACAACTGGCGCCGGGAATTGCAGGATCCCCAAGGCTGTACAATGTGACACCGTGCACATCAGATCAGAGCAGCTACGGCGTTATTCCCAGACTAAACACTCCAGCATTCTGTCCGGCAACAGCATTAGTAAGTCATTACAAAACGTTTAATTTTATTGTCTTGAACATTAATATATACATAAAGAAAAGATTGCTGAACAAGTTGCTTTATTTAGATTTCTTTTTCTTGTATGTGATTTGATTGGAGGATATAAAGTATATATTACGGTATGAATCTATATAGAATAAAGCCACTAAGGTTATGCCAAGTGTTAAATGTAATGATTTATCATTTATCAATGGTTTATTACAATTTAATACATAACGTTAATGATCTTGATATCCAGGTTAAAAAAGCGTGTTGAGTGAGAACTGTATACACAGTAAAATATCTTTATGTCATTCTGGGAAAACAATTTTGGGATGATTTTATGTATTAAAAAATAATACTGTAAAAAATAAGTTAGGCCAAGTTGAGTCAATGCAGTTTCATCGGGACAATAATTAGTATCCATGGAAATAGTATCAGAGCACGTGGAGGAATAATTTGTATCAATGGAAGTAGTATCAGACCACGTGGAAGGATAATTAGTATCCTTGGAGATGCTCTTCAGATCAGGTTTACATCCAACTTTGTAGATGGAAAAGTTTATTTGAATTTATCTATTACAATAACACCATACAGCACTTGTATCGTTTCGTAGGTTTCGTATAAACACCATCAAAGTGCAACGTAAAATGCCTTGTTTCTTAATTAAGTTTAAGCTTATATTATCACTTATGCAGTACTGGCCTTTTCCCCTAGACTAAAGCATATATATATATATGTAAACTTAAAAATTTTACATCTGTGTTTTTATAACTATAATAAGTAAATTTAGTTTAAAATAATAGTGGAAGTTCAGAAAATGAAAGATTTTGTCACTTCGATAGTGTCTTAACTGTTGTTACTGTGTAAAATGTTATCAGTTGCCAGGTAGATTGATAACACTAATCGTTTGTTTGTACGCCATCTATTGAGTATAACATTTCTGTATTTTGGAACAAAACTAAATGTTACACCTTGGTGAATATTATTTGGGGAAGAGTAACAAGTAAAATCCTTTTAAAACGTCTGTATATCCATACACACATACACAGGTATATATATATACGTACATACACGTTTTCTTATTCAATACATTTGTAAGTGCTCACTTGGCGGTGGTCCCCCGATGGGACAATGGTAAGTCTGCGAACTTACAACGCTCAAATCCGGGGTTCGATTCTCCACAGCGAGACACAGCAGCTTGCTCAATGTGGCTTTGCTCTAGGATAAACAAGCAAATACTTGGCGGTGGAAAAAATAAGCTTCAGTAAATCCTTGGGTGAGTGAAATAAAATATTCCAGCAAAATTACAACACGTATGTGACTGTACGAAATGATTGTGAATTTTATTTTGAGATAAAAAACAAATTATAAATGGAATAAATTAACATTTAAAAATAATACCTGAAGTAAGACATGTGAATGAATAATATAATGAAATAGTCTGAAGCAAATAAAATATCAACAACATCTATTTGAACATGTTAATTAATAATGAAAGTATAAAGATTAAAACACGAATATATTTTCAATATTAGAACGTCACCTTGTCCTCCTCTGTATGGTGTCATAAATATGTATTATCCAAGGACGAGATGTTGGTAAGCCTCGAACCTGCAACTTTTCAACTATAACTTGTAAGCACTAACTACTTGAACACGCCATCCCCACAATAAATATTAATAAAATAGTTTGTTTTGTTGTTAAGCGCTAAGCTACACAATGGACTACTTGCGTTGTGCCCATCGCAGGTATCGCATCCAAATTTTTAGTGTTATAAACCGGCAAGCTTACCACTGAGCTACCAGGGTGAAATATAAAATTCAATTTATCTCATTGTGTTATATATATTTATATTAATTCGAAATTTAAAGAAATCATTCTAACTGTGAAAGTGTTGTTTTCAATTAAAAAAAAAACACACTAGAAAATAGATACGTAGGAGAACTCTTCATGGATTTGATCTGTGGATGCAGAAGAGAAATTGTAATGTACAGTGTACTTAAGAAAAACCCACAAAAAAAAACATTCCCAATAAAATCATACTCAAGTAAGAAATCATGAACAATACGAAAAAACAGCATTCCCCCAGGAAACCCGATATAAGGAAATATTAACCACCAACGGCATATTCATAGAAACTAGTGTTTTTTCTCAACGAACTTATAAAATTTGTTGTTTGTTTTTAATTAAGCACAAAGCTACACAATGGGCTATCTGTGCTCTGTCCACCACGGCTATCGAAACCCGGATTCTGGGGGGCTTATAAAATTTATATAAAATAATGAAACTTGTACATAAAAATAGTTTGGTCTTTCAGTTTTGATACATAAACCATGGCAGTATTTTAGACAATATAAATGATAATTTAGTTTGATGTTAAGCACAAAGCTATACAATGGACTATCTGTGCTCTGCCCACCACTGGTATCGAAACCCGGATTCTAGGATTTTAAGTCCACAGACATACTGCTGTTCCACTTGGGGGCTAGACAATATAAATGATAATTTAGTTTGGTGTTAAGCGCAAAGCTATACAATGCGCTATTTGTGCTATGCTCACCACGGGTATCGAATCCTGATTTTTAGTGTTATAAGGCCAGAAGCCGCTGAGTCACTGGAAGGAGGTGGGGGGGGGGCGAACTTATTAGTTCAAGAGGATGAGATTAAATACGAATCTTACATAAATTAAAATCAGAAATAGAAAATGACCTTTGTTTTGTAGATGGTCTATTACTTTATAAAATAAGTTTGATTAAAGTCAGCAGGGTGGTTTTAAATTAAAATATATAATGTGTGAAAACGTTTTGATTTGTAAATATAATTACAAAAATTAATGATACCTTTAACATAAACAACTCTGAGCCGGACGTAGTTTAATGGTTGGCGAAATGAAAGGTCCAAAACTCAAGCCCGTGGTATGCCCTCTGAGCACACTCCACACTTACAATTATGGACTTGTTATAAAATTGATAGTCAATCCCGCTATTTGGTTAAAGAGTTGTGTAGGCAGCGGATACTGTTGACTAGTTGGCCTCCTTCTGGTTAACATTTCTAAATGAGACAAGATTATATGGCCTGAACGTTGGGGTCTCAGAACTGGCAGTTTAGCCTATGGGTCTCACAAGGTGTTGCTTATGCAGAAAATACAAAATAAACACATCACCTGAAGTTGAACCAGTTAATCTGACTTTTGCAGAATGAAATGTTGTGCATATAAACAAATATACTTTCATATCAGCAAAGTATAACTCGCCATGTTTATGAAATGATTATTAATTATATGTTATTTTCTTGTATACACGTTGAAGCGAGGTATTTGAGAATTTTAGCGATTTGGTAAAACAAATCTTTAATAGCACGCAGTGCATTTCTTGTTCTTAAACATTACTTTTACAAATATGCAAAATCTTGTCACATCTATCACACTAATCAATAAGGCAATGCCACTAAAAGCTCTCTTTATCTACAATGTGGAACACATTTCAAAGGACTGTTTTATTCGATTGAGTGTGGACTGACGTAAACGTAAACAAAAGTGATGAATTATGTCCACGACCTAAACAGATAAACTATAAACGTACAGAGCTGGTTTGTTCCATCTTGTAAGAGTAAGTGTTTGTTATGATAAAATAATATCCATACAATTTACTTGTATATACAGTTTCTATTTTTGATGTTCTGTATTATAGTAAAGGCATTAGGGAAGTTTATTAGTAGGATTATATAAGTACACTATGTAGATTTTTCAATTAACCAGTTAAAAAAACACATTAATACTATAATATCATTTGTTTCTGCATCTTTTTTTTTTCTTGTCTCTTGGGAATTTAAGAAGTATATTTTAATACAGGCTGAAAGTTTCGAAGAGTTATATAAACCTGTAGAATGTTACTGCTGACAGGTAGAGATAAACAGGTTTATATAACTGAAATACATGTATTTATCTCTACCAGTCACCAGTAACATTCTACAGGTTTATATAACTGCAATACATGTATTTATAAAATGTTACTGGTGAATAATAGAGATAAGTACATGTATTGTAGTTATATAAACCTGTAAAATGTTACTGCTGAATAATAGAGATAAATACATGTATTGTAGTTATATATACCTGTAGAATGTTACTGCTGACAGGTAGAGATAGATAAGTACATATATTGCAATTATATAAACCTGTAGAATGTTACTGGTGACTGGTAGAGATAAATACATGTATTTCAGTTATATAAACCTGATATCGTATTCTTATTATCAAGAGGATACCCTGATGTGATTAATAGTGTTTTGTAAGAGCTATTCATAAGTTACACAAATATTGCTAATCATCAATGCTTTAGTTGGTTGGTCAAAAGGCATAAGAATTACTGCGGATATACAATATTGGAAATAATTGTGAAGTGGTATAAAAAGCAAGTATGATGAAAATACCGTGTGAAAATCAACTGCACCAGAGTACAGTCACGTGCTGATAGCTTATACTCTAATTAATTGTCATCCAACCAATCATACCAGTGTAAAGCTTATACAAGAACAAGCAGTTACATTTTGCGCAATACCACATAATAAGAGTGTAGAAAAAGAAGTTTTGACTGGTAAAGGATACTCTGCAAGATTCCATGTTTCAGAAGAAGCTATATGCCGAATCCTGAATTGGATGATAGAAACTGGCGGTATATGCTGAATCCTGAAGTGGATGATAGAAACTGGCGGTATATGCCGAATCCTGAAGTGGATGATAGAAACTGGCGGTATATGCCGAATCCTTAAGTGGATGATAGAAACTGGCGGTATATGCTGAATCCTGAAGTGGATGATAGAAACTGGCGGTATATGCCGAATCCTGAAGTGGATGATAGAAACTGGCGGTATATGCCGAATCCTGAAGTGGATGATAGAAACTGGCGGTATATGCCGAATCCTGAAGTGGATGATAGAAACTGGCGGTACTGTTAATGATAAAAGTTGTTATGTAGAAAACCACAACTTTCCAAAAG